CCTTCAGCTCTATTTAAAACCCTGGATATTACAGTCCTGTTCCAGACAGCCAGTATAATTTGACCTCTTTCCCAAACAATATTCCTTTCAAATTTTTAAGAACCGATATTACAATTTGGCGTCTCATCCTACTTTGTATTTCACAGGGTTTGGATTGTTACATAAGTTACTCCTTCACCTGCATCCATCGAGCGATTAATACAGCACAGAAAAGTTTTTTTTTTGTCGCTTGACATAAACCTTTTACACAGAGTTTTTTTAGTAGTTTTACTGCTTATCCCCCTATAAAAACATCAAAAAAGTCTACTGTTTGAAGAACGAAAGTTTGAAAGAACCTCTACTGTACCAAAGAAGCTGCAATTTTTACCATATACACTGCTAAAACTAGAAGCAATCTTGCCAAGATAAGTTTGTAACAAATCCAGTAGCGTAGAAAACATAATTGAAAAATCCGGCATACTTTTTTTTATTTGGATCAAGTTTAGGTGAGGTAATCTTTGGCAACTTCACGCACAAGGTAGAAACAACCTTAAAAGTCCTTTCCTCTTCTGCGAAAGAATTATATTTAACTAACACCCACCTCTTAGATCACTGCACTCGGGACTTTAATCAGTTACTCACAAAAGGCGCTTTAATCGCTTTGATCACCACATATTAATTGATCTTTTTATCACTGAAATCCTTCGGCATATTTATTCAATGATCTGATATACAGCCTTTTTTTTTTTTTTTTTTTGTGACTTATCTGAAAGTTAGTTACTCTGAATTTTTTCAAAACTCTCCTAAAATCGACCTTTGCCTACCAAAGGATAAATTTTGTTCAATTCTTCCTTAGTCTTACAGACAGCCTCAATAAAGGTATTATAAGATCTAAATCCGACAACTTATTGGTTAGAAAACCGTAGAAAAGAGAAAGATCTTCCCAATTGGAACTCCGGAATCACTGTGTTAGCATGGACAAAACGAGAACTATTTGGTCACTAATCGTGATTTTTTTACATTTTTTGCTTTAGACTTACCGACAGACTTTCTCTCTCACTTGAAAGCCACAGGATTGCAGGCAGAATGTGAGACGCCTTCTACTTCATTTGTAAGATAGTGAAGACCATCTAAAATTGATTACTAAGGGCCATAGAAAGTAAACTAAAACAACACGCCGACACCAAATCCTATCTAAAAGAGCACCATCTCCACACCTCTTCTGACCATCATCTACTTTTTGAGACTACGGAGGAAAACAGAAGAGAACAGACATCAGATAAAGTTACTAACAGTTCTTGCAGCAAAGTCAGGAGATGAAAAAACGTTGCAGCTTATTCTACCGATAATCTGCTCCTAATACTTAGAACAAATAAGTTATACTTATACAGCTGGCATTACAAATGACTTCGGTGAATCTGGCATTTGCAGTCAACCTGATCTCCATTGATCCTTTCGCAGTCTTCCCCTTGCTTGCTTCAATTATGTTGCCATCAAGACTCATACCTATTTGGGGGAATACAGCCACTCAGCCCAAAGGAACATCAGCGCCTTACCGGACTGATAAGAAACTTTTGGCAAGCTTCCACTGCAGTCATTTTTTGCTTAAGGTACCAGTTCTTTGTACGATAATTGTGACCTTAGAGAGCGATTGTGGCTTCGTTAGTTCCATCCTTTGAGGGCCGTCTTATGCAGGCGAAAAGTCTTTTGCATCGAAAGTGCCTCATTTTTTTAAGGATGGGGCGTTTCGATCAGATTGACGAAAGTGGTTTTTGACTTTTTAAAATGCTTCTGAACTATTTACTTACTGACTTGTTCATATGCAGAAAGTACAATCATCATCGGGTGAGACGCATTAGAAAACAAAAAGCGAAATATCGGCAAGGAGAGTATGAAATAAAGACTTTTCGCCGACTTTAAAATTAGCGGAGAATTTTACTGTTTTTTATTTATACATATTCCTTGAAGACTTGTTCGAAAAGAAGTATTTGATAAATAAAACTAGAGGCTGTTTTACAGTTACTTAAACAGGTAAAAAAGTTAGGTGACTTTTAGGATTTTTAGCGGTACCATCTGTAAAGGTTTATTATTTTTGGTATATAAGAAATGGATTTGAGTGTAAAGTGATTTTTTGACCTGTATACGAGATTTTCAGTAAAGAAAAATAAAAAATTTTCATTTTGCCAGTAAGTTGCCGTCCTAGTTTTATGTTGGTATGGCTGTCGACCTCTTGATTACAGAATGCTTGCTGTTTTTATTGATAGAAAGTATAGGTATGGATCGACATGATCTCGTCATCTATGGCGTAACTGGGTTTACTGGTGCAAAAATTTTGGAAACTCTGTTAGACTCAGAAACAAATGTTGATTTTGCGGTAGCTGGAAGAAATGAACAGAAGATTCGTCAATTGCTCTGCAGAATTGGAGAGCTGAAAAGTGAGGTTTTATGTTCTTTGATATGCCTCTTTTTTTTATTTCGCTTCATTTGTTAACAGGTGATTCGACAAATATTAAACTGGTTACTGTTAATGTTTCGTTGTTAATTACAGGCAGTACAAATGGTTTATTAGTATTATGACTGGTTGTTTAGCCATGTTTTAATGACAACCAATTGTATAAATAGAAAAGTACTTGGAAATTAAATTCAAATGCACTCAATCTTTATGTTTCATGACATCGAATCATAGTATTTTTTCCTCATGTCAAAGAGTATTGAATTTTTTCCATTCATTTTTTTGTTTGAGTTATGCTGAGTATGCATTGAGTCTCAAGTATGGGGTGTGTACAGGTAGTTAACTTGCATGGTTAAATTTTCAAAATTGCTTGGTTCCGTAGACTTTTCTCATATCGTTCTTGTTTTAATTTTGTTTTACTTCTTAATCTGTTTATCATTTCAAGCTAATGTTTTTTATTCATTTTTGACTAGAAGAGTGGTTTCATTGTAGCTGATATTGCTCGATCATTTCTTGTCAAAAACTAACTGTTCTTTGGCCGACTATTGAGAATTTTTCTGAATTTGGGTGGATAGTAAGCACAGATTTCTGGTTTTAAAGGGAAATAGACTGTCAGTGAAGTTTAGTTTCTGCTCAGGTTATCTTCTGGAAGTGCAAAAAGCTTGCGGTATATAAAAATTATATTAAAATATGCCGTCTTATTATTTGCTAAGGAGAACTAGGTAGGTTTAAATTTGTATGGAAGATTTTGCATTTAAGAATATAAGCATATAATATGCTACATACAAAAAATAGTCGGAGCTTCCAAGAAAGCAAATACCGCATTGGTTTTATGGAAAATTTGAACTATCTCTTAGTGCAAGTTTTACAATACCATTTTAAAATTTGCTTGTTTGTGTCATGAAAGCAATTCTCTCCTTGTTGTTGAGAAGTAAATTAAGTAAACTTGACTGGTTTTCAGTTTGGAAATTGAGGCTTATAGTCTATGCAGCTTTGAAAAAAGCCATAGTTATCTGCTTAAAAGAATGATTTTTTAAGTTATGGTATAGCTGACGTGATTTTTTTAACGTCTTTGTTTTGTTTTTACTTAATTTCTCCCTTTTTAATGGCAAACTTGGTCATTTAATTTTTAGAGAAGGACTTGTCAAAAGTTTGTGTTATTGTCGCAGATTCCAGTAATGAAACCTCGTTGATTTCAATGGCCAAGCAGTCAAAAGTTGTTGTGAACGCCGTTGGTCCGGTAATATCTTTGCTTATAGAGTTGGCCCCTTGGTGTAATGTTCATAAGTGTTAGCAGGGCAGTTTAATTTTTTACGCATTGATAGTATTCTTTTGTTTATTAATCTTTTTGTTTATAATTTCTTGGGTAATTTTGCAGTATCGTCTTTATGGTGAAGCTGTGGTAAAAGCTTGCATTGATGGTGGTGCAAGTTACGTTGATGTGTGTGGTGAACCAGCTGTAAGTGTTTGCCGGATAAGGGTTTCTCTGTATTTTAGGGTTACCGTTCCGTAATTCGCTTATTTCAGTTTTTGGAAGAGATGCAGTTAAAGTACTCTGATGCTGCTAAGGAAAAAGAGGTTTATATTGTGGGGTCATGTGGTTGGGATAGTGTTCCCTGTGATCTGGGTATAAACTTTTTGAAGGATCATTTTCATGGAAGATTAAACCATGCAGAGACATTTGTGCAACTGAGTTTTGGAAAGGATGTGAGTTACGTTGCTCATTTTTTTTCTTGAACTGTTAAGTGTTTTTAAAATTTTTTCATTTATTGATTTTACAGGGCTTTGCATTTAATACTGGGACTTACAATTCACTTATTCTGAGCTTGGCTAATATGAGAAAAGATGGTCTTGGAGAAAGGCGAAAAAAACTTATGCCTGAAAAATTGCCTAGAACCGGATATTTCCCTTTGAAAAGGTATTTTTAATGTATGAGGTTTTATTTGCATAAAGTTTCCTAAAACGAAGTACGGGTCAGCTATTATCTTTTTCATATGCAAGTCGCCGAAGTCAAGGGGGGTTGCACCGATAATAAAAATAAAAAACAATCATTAGCGTGGTTCGATAGACCAGGCATTTGGCTGATTAAATGAAATCCATCGTTGAACAACAGAATGGTCAGGATTCATTAAAAAATTGTTATATTCGTCCATTAGTCGATAATTAGTTTTTATCTACATACCCAAAAAAGGTTAACAGGAAAGGATATTAATTTACTGAAAGCAAATTTCAACTTATTAGGAGCAGTCCTCTGTTGCTATAACACCTTTCGCATGGCCACGACTAATTATAAAGTGATAGGGATTTTCTTCGCTGAGGAAAAGATTTGGTTTCAGGTTCTTTCTGTGGTACAATGAGTTCTTGAGAGCATATTGCCTTCCTTTTCTGGGTGCCGATAAAAGTGTGGTTTCCAGAACACAGTATTTCAACTGGCAGCTTCATAAAGAGTTTCCAGTGAGTTGTTTCTGTGTGAAAGCTTTGCTAGGTTGTATTGTTTTCGCTGCCCGCTTATTAGAAAAAGCTGAAAATTGAGGCCTTGTAGACAGATGAAGTTAAACTAAGTTGTAATTGATTTCAAGAAGTCTCTCTAGCGAAAACCCCATTCAAATTAGCGTTATTGAGGATTTTCCTATAAATTATTGCTACAGTTCAAAGAAACGTGTATTTGCGTTCCTCAAAACTTTGAGACAGATGACACTGTGCTGTAAAATGTTTTCCAGAACATAGTTATATATATTTTGGAACAACGTCTTTTACCAGTTTTGGAGACTGGTTTTGAAGGTAGAGCTATTGAAGCATCTTCCTAGCATTTATGCAGTTCTTTTACTATTCATTTTATATACTGTTTTAATTGGTTTTACAGGTAATTGTTCAGACCTACATGGGTATAAAGAGCTTATTTTGGACATGTTTATTAGTCCTCTGGCTAACAGCTTTCTCGCTTCTTGCTCAGTTCAACTTTACGAGGAAACTGCTTTTGCGTTATCCAGAAAAATGCAGCTTTAATATGTTTAAAAATTCAGGGCCAACGGAAGCCCAGGTATCTTTTTCACACCGGGTATTGCACGTCCTTTGCACTCTTTGCGCGCTTACATTTCTCGTTTATGCCCGGAGGTTGTTTTTTCTTGCGGATTTGCCTTTTTGCAATTAGAGTCAGCTGGATTATAGCTACTGTGTTTTAAATTCTAGATGAAAGACTCATCATTTACATATTGGTTTTACGGATTTGGATGGAGAGAAGAATTCCCGCCTGAAGAAGTGCCCTCGAAGTCACCGGATGCAGAGGTCTGTGTTCTTATTGTTTCAATAGAACTAGGAAAAGAAGGCATTTTTTAAAGGTTAAAGTACGATGCGACGGCCCTGATCCAGGTTACACCTCGACCGCTGCTTGTGTATTGTGTGCAGCGTTTACTGTCCTTGAGGACCACAAAACCTTGCCGGACAAGTAATCATTTTCATTGGCCATTATTTCCATTATTTTCAAAATTTTGTCAGAAGTTCTTTTGATGTGGTTAAAATGGGGCGAGAATAGGAGCAAAATGTTTTTTGACTGGAATTTTTTCCATACTTTGATTTAAAGTGATTGATTTATATTATTTTAGTGTAGGATGATTATTTCTTTATCGTGCATTTCCCGCTAAAGTACTCTGTAAGAGCTGTAACTGAGATGTAGGTAGATTTAAGTGTAGTCGCACTCAGTGTTTTCTTTGGAACAGTAGCAAAATCACAGCACTACTTTTTTGTAGGATGTGAACATTACAGGGTATTCAGTTGACTTCTCAAGAATAATGAATTTGTTCAATTCTTCCTAATTTTAACTACCAAACGGCAAAGAAATGTAGCCTTTCTTGAAATGTGAGGTTTTGTACTTCTAGTACTTGGTGTACTGGAAGAGCATTTGAAATTCAAATGCGCTTTCTCTTCAATTTTACTAAGGATATCACAAGCTCACAAAGAAACGGTTTCGCTAGAGTGAAAAAAGTACTGTTATCAATATCTGATGGGGTTGGCGACCAACTAATATTTCGCAGGTTGTGAAATTAAAAGTATTAGTAAGAGAGGTACTTAAATCTGTTTAAAAAAAAGTAATGGGAGGTCGTCAACATATGAGGAGTGGTTATGGAATTGCAGAAAAAGAGATACCAATTAGACTAATTGATTTGGGGCCTACAAAAAAAGAGATAGTTGAAGCATTAAAATTTGTATGGGAGGGTGGAAGACGTTCTGGACTACTGGAGCTCAGAAACTTTTTTTCGAAACGGTTTTCTAAAAAAAACACACAGGAAGTGAACGGAAGTAGTTTGGTAGGAATGAGCTGTTAAAAACCTGAAAGAAAAACAAAATGAGCGTGGCTGCAAAAAAATGGTTTTTCTGTATTCCTGAAGGGCAGTAGGAACTTGTGAAGTAGGATAATGCTTTAGAAAAGCTTTGCTGCTGCTGCGGCAAGTGAAATGGTCCAAATATCCATTCTCTTTTTGGTTTTTAAATCCTCACTTTTCCAGGGGTGGCGTCTACACACCAGGGACAGCCTTTAGAAAGAGTCCACTAATGTTCAGTCGATTACAGAAGTACGACATCATTTTTAAAGTGGTTTGAACATAAGTTGCCATATTTCGAGTTACAAGAAGGCTCATTTTGCAGTTGAAATGTGATAATTTTACAGTTACGGTATGCTGACTTATGATTTTTTTAACACATTCGAAAAGGTAACTTATTTTTGTTTTTTGGATTGTATTAATTTTGCGTTTTACCGCTCAAGTCCCATATGAGCCATTCTGTACCGTCACTGACTCGTTCCACATAAAACTTGATTGTAGGTGAAATAAAAGTTGCAAGACGCCAGTAAGTGAGTGACACCTCAAGATCAACGCAGTTCCGAGAATTGTCTGAGGCTTAAATATCGGACTTTAACTTATCATATGGATACAGTGGACCATCCACTACTTATTCTAATTAGCCGTAAGCCTCTATTGGACTTCCGTGAAATCTTTATTTGTAAAACAAGCAGAAGCCATCAGTGGTAGTGGGGAGGTCTTGGCTTTTCCTAAGAAAAACTTGCATAATGCGATTAACTAGCATGCAGTTCCCCTCCCGTCAAGAATAAAAAAAGCAAACGGCACTGCTCACTTCCGAAATAATTGCCTTCCTTATTTCACTGTTTACGGGTTTAACAAATTCCTTGACTAGATCATCGATGCTGAAGTGAAGTGGTCAAAGGGATTTAAATTTTGAATTTCAGTTGGTGCGAAAAGCTGAAGTCTAATTAGATTTTTTATAAAGACTGGAAAGTATGCTCAAACTTCTGCAGAAATTACATATTGTTACAGATGGAACAGGAGGAAGAAAACAAAAGACATTTCAGACTAGGTTTAGAGCCAAAAGTTTTATAGACTCTGAGAAACAGTCATTTATGCACATTGTGAGTTTGGAAAGGAAAGAGGGGCCGTGAGGAACTACTACAGGTATAATATAATGCTGAATTGTTGACAGAAATCACTACACCGTTACTATATAATTTGAATAGAATTATGCTAAGATTATTTGAAAATTATGCCTATCTAGTTACAGTTATGCTACAACATACACCCCGTACGTGAGCACCTTCACAGCTGCGCGCTGGACTGATTATGCGACGTAGTTTTTACCTCCTGAAATCTTCTTTGGGTTCCTTAGTTCGAGCTCTTGAAACGATGCGGCGTAAACCCGTGGCTTTAAAGAACTATCCACATGCTCCAAGATGAGTGCCAGAACAGCAGCTTGCATCCCACGATTACAAGACGTGATCAAAGGCTTTCCTCGTTCATGGCCTAGTTCAGAGAACCCTTAAAACCATTTTTTAAAAGTAGTCTTTCACTTATCATCCTGAGTGTGGATTAATGGACAAAAGCACTAACACTTCCTGATTTCATCAACGGGTTTCAAGACTCCGTTGACAAATAATTCTCCGACGGGAGCTGATTTTGACCCGGGAATATGTGACCCCTTCACACCTAGAAGTTAAATCTTCTATCAGTGGAAAATTGGTTCTTTTTGTCAAGTTATATTGCCAATCAAGAAGATGAAAATGTTCAGGAGTCATAAAAAAAGTGGCACAAAAAAAAAAA